AGTGGATGTTATGGAAGTTAAAAATAAATTTAAATACCTTCCACATTTTGATTTTGCTATAACCTTAAAACAGCCGTCAATAGAAATATTAATTGTGCACTTAAAGAGAATCATAAAACCCACTAATGTGTTATTTGTCAAGCCTGAGGAAAAACAGGAGAAATTAAAATGGCAAAAAACTGCCAAGTTTTGGTTCTTCTGTTCGGATTTTCCACAGCAAATGCTGCAATTCAATCCAGAGAAAGAAGTGCAATAGAATTCATTAAAATCAGTGGATCTGAAATCTACTTTTGGACTTGTTTGGGGTTTTTTATGTTCATAATACAGTATGAAAGTAAATTTATAGCAAAAGCCAGTTCATTGATGAGTCTTTATAATGGTGAGGTGACAGNAGATAGATAGATAGATAGATAGATAGATAGATAGATAGATAGATAGATAGATAGATAGATTTTATTTGCACCAATATGGACTTGGGGTTCAGTTTATTGTGGGGGAAGGAGTAACATTTAGGAGTATAGAACCACAGTTCAGTTTAACAAAATTTTGTTCCATGCAGAAAGAATCAGGAAGGTGATGGCATCTGTTCAAACTGCTATTTCCCTAACGTCTAAAAGGTCTACACAGTTCATTTTTCTTCTGTTCTGCAAAGGTCACAATTTTTCCAACTGAAAATAAACTTTCACATTTTGCCTGTTCTATAAGATCCTTCTATGACCTCATTTGCCAGAAGCGTTTCTAAATGTTCTTCTCCCTCTGGTTTGAATTCTCAGTTTCTAGAAGATTTCCTGTGCCAAAAATTAGATTAATCTCTTTTGTGAAAAGGAGAGAATATAGTATGTTTGTGGGAGGTACTATAACATATGTAATAGTGAGATTTTAATTAGTTTTAATTGCTATTATAGTATCATAAAAAGAAAACAAAGCAAAACAAAGCAGTAGAATCAAATCAAAACAAATTGCAAAAAAGTCAGAGCAAACTATATATACCCCATAAATCCTAAACCAAATGTAAGAATGTAATGATAACTGCATATGCATAAAAGATGCTAGGTCTCAATTTTAAATAAATTAAATCTTGATCGTATTGCTTAATCTTTCTTGACTTTAATAATAAAAAAATCCAAAGTTTGGAAGCTGATACACTTCACCTATTTAACCTTTCATACCTGGTATACATGCACATTTTCAAGAACTACTTTTTGGCCAAAATCCCAGGATGGTAAATCCAAAGTTCTTGATAAATGGACATGTCTCTTCCAAGAACCTAATTTATCATAGTAAGAGGATACTAAGGGACACAATCAAAATGTATGCACTAATATATATTCAGACTTCTATCTACCATCCATCCATCCATCCATCCATCCATCCATTTTATGAAATAATCTTCTTTTTGGATCATGATTCTGTATATTGATTCATTGGACAATATTCTTCAAAAGATCATTTACATTCTCAATTCATAATTTCTTTCACACTATCATGTTGCTTTTAGTGACAATTCTTCAATCATGGTAATAAGAGATTCCACACAACACTAGGAGACTTGCAATTTGAAAAGCAGGAAAAAATAAAATAGGAAAACAGATCATGTGTATCCAGAAGGAGACCATACATAGCATACATGTGTCCGTTTATGCATCAGGGTCTCTAAATTACAATTTTTCTAGGATCCTCTTCGTCATCCCCAGATATGAAAAATGAAATCATGCCAGATGTTACTAATCTCAAATGCACTCACAATTCATTATTAATAAGCTGTAGCCCATACTGGACAATGACACTGCGTTTCTCCAGCATTGCAGATCCATACTAACATACAGTTTGCTGCTGAACCTGAATTCTTACAAGCAACAGGAAACAACAGGTCAGTAATACCAACATGGGAGCCAGTTCCTCAATAAACTAGATATCTTTTTTGCAACAAACTAGATATCTACTCATATCTATACTAAGATCACTATTTCAGGACCCATGAAACCTATAGGCAAGACTAGAAGCATCTTCACAAGCTCTTCCTCCAATATGATATATTCCAGGGTTGGCAAACCTTTTCAGCACCAAGTGCCAAAACCAGAATGCACACACGCTCACCGGTGTGTGTGCTGGAAACTGGAAGAGCAGCTGCCCTGTGTGCATGTGTGCACCCGCCAGTTGCTCTTCCTGGTTCTGGAATGCATGCCAGGCAGCTAGTCTTCAAGCATGTGGGAGCAGAAGAACCCGGAAGATCAGCTGTCTGGTGTGCATCTGCTTGCCTGGTGTGCAGTTGCTTTCTGGGGGTCCGGCGTGTGCATGTGCGCTGGCCAGTTAGTCTTTGCATATGTCGGAGCACCAGAAACTGGAAGAGCAGCTGCTCGGTGCGCATGTGTGCATTGGTGAGCGGGTCTTCTTGTTTCTGGCAGTCCTGCGTGTGCAGAAACCAGCTGGCTGTCACACACGTGCGTGCCAGAACCCAGAAGAACAGCTGGTGATGGTGTGCATGCCCACAGAGAGGGCTCTGTGTCCCACCTCTGGCACACATGCCATATCTTTGCCATCGTGGATTCATGCCATCATCTTCCATCATCTTCCCCCCCTTCCTTTTTGAATTGTGAGCCACCCTGAGTCCCCCCAGGGAAAAGGGCGGCATACAAATAAAGGAAATGAAATGAGATTCTCTTAGATTCTACAGAGGATAAACAGGAGAAGCTTTGCATAAAATAATTAACATATACAAGATTGACATCAGAACTCAAAAGAAGGACACCATAACATTAGAGCACTTCAACCTCTCAGGACTCAAAAGTGATTTTAGGAAATTGGGACTTTAACAATAGAACATCTACATGTTTCCGGCTATCTCAGAAGGGCTTAACAAACACAATTGATTTTAATACATTGCAATTGCTAATTAGTAAAGTATTTGTAATCTGTCTCACATGTAACCTTCATCTGCATAAGTAGCCTTTCTTCCTCCCTTACTTTTCCTCTTCTTAAACCTTACCACTCTGTGAATCCAATTAAGATGTGGCTTATGCTTTCTATAAAGTGTGTTAGTCAGAAAAAAACATTTATCAGACTTCTGATTATTATTATATTTTCCCCATCATAGATGAACACAACCTATTTTCTAAATGGCCTACTGCAAGATTCCACAGAACAGGAAATATTTTCTGGTGTTCTGGATATGACCTGGCCAGAAGTGGTATTCATCAGGTTCTGACCAGTTCTGGAGAACAGTAGTGGAAATTTTGAGTAGTTCGGAGAACTGGTAAATACCACCTCTTCCTGGTCTTGCCCCCATCTGTTCTCTGCCTCCCAAATCCCAGTTGATTGGGAGGGAATGGGGATTTTGCAGTAACCTTCTCCTGGAGTGGGGAGGTAATGGAGATTTTACAGTATCCTTCCCCTGCCACACCCATCAAGCCACGCCCACAAAGCCAAACCATGCCCATCAAGCCACGCCCACAAAACTGGTACTAAAAAAATAAATCCCACCACCAGAACTGACCTTGCAGTAGGCTTGTTAATTGTATCTCAAACATCACAAACTATTTTATTTTCCAGAACAGATCTGACTTCACTATTTAACAATTTTTGTTTGAAAAAAAAACCAGGATTTTCTGGATTTTCATGTTATAATTCTGCCAGAAGACACTGAACATTCCTTACTGCAGCCTTATGAGATTAGAAACAAATCTGACTGTATTTTTTTAAAATGAGTCTTTTATGACGCAAAGTGTATTTAAATTTGTATATTAAATGTTGCAAACCAGAAAACGAGTTTCAGGACCTCTTTTTGCCATGAAAAAAAGCAAACCAAAAATATACCTTACATTATTTTAGGCCTCAGCATTGTGTAACAAACATCAAGACCGTTTAGCTGGAATTAGGTCTGTTCAGTGCCAGAAGTTGCCATAAGTACTAATATTTGCTGAGTTTTATTGCGCAAACTGAATATATTGTATGGTTGCATCCATTGATGTATCCATCAGACTTCTTTCAGTAATTTATTTATTTGTTCAATTTTTATAGCTGCCCATCTCAGTCAATGATTCCGAGGCAATTTGCAATTCATTATGTATCTCCTACATCACCAGCCTGAATTGTTTGCATTATTTTTGGCTTAGAATTGTTATAGTAGACCCATTGCCCTTCATTCCCTCCCTTTAAATTAATTTTGTATCCCAACAGACATCTTTAAAACTCAATAAATATATTTTAAACAATTTAATGTAGTTTTGTGATACTTCCTGAGGTTGGTTGTTCAACTCCTTCATCACCCAACTAGGTAACGTAATAAGAGTAAGTGAGGACGGGATTTGCTGTGTGCTTCACTAATATTGAAGCCAGTATTTTGGAACCAAAGGGGAAAAAATATATTTCTAGACCTGGAGTACATCAACCTGGTAAAATCACTATAGAAATGTCTACATTCTGTTGCCAACACTCATTTCTGATTTCAAAATTTATCCATTCGCTTGGCAAAATCTTAAAAGGGAAGGCAGGATAGCTAATGCTTTTTAGGAAACTAAATAACTAAGTAAAGGGATTTCTGGCAATGCTGTTAAATTTCTCATGGTTTGAAAGGAAAACGAGGCTGGTCCAAGCATCTAGGTATTATTTCAAATGGAGAAAGAGAAAGAGAGAGACATCTACATGCCATAAAAATGTCATCACACACATGCTGCTCCAGTGTATTCATTAAAAACATTACTTGGAGCATTTCCCATGCTATTCCATTCCCGGCTGGCATAATTTTACTCTGGTGGCATATCTGATTAAAAAGAACCACAATAAACAAGAATACATGCAGATTATTCAGCATAAACAATTATTTCCCTTTCTTTCTCTTTCGCTCTCCTCCCACCCTGTGTTTGACAAGACTAACTGATAAATTACGATTGCTGGTGGCTTTAGCTCACTGAACCTTTGCAAGGAAATAGGAAACACACAACAGAGCGGCCAAAGACCAAATAGGCAAAATAATAAATAAATAAAAACGGACAATCACTTACTTTCTTCCATTGCTACAATGGTTATATTATGCCATGTGCTAGTTTCTCTGTCCAGCGGTGTGGCCAAAGTTATCTTTCCATCTTGAGTATTAATGTTGAATTGTCTTTCAAGGTCAGTATTCCGATCGATGGAAAACCTAGGGAATAAAGGTCCTTATTCAATTATTCACTTAAATATTTTTTTTGCCTGATCTGAGTAGCACTTGCTCTCATAATCTGACAAATCCGTGTTTGGTTGAATAGCAGCTTTGTAGCCTCTGTGGATTCACTGGGCTCGATAATGGTATAATTCATAACGCCCAATAAATAAATAAATAAAGATGGACTGAGAATCAGGGAGCAGAATTATAGTCCACTGAGTAATTAGCTGCATGCTCGCAGTGTGAAGGTTAGGAGCCATCACTAAGATCAGTCGGTAGCAATCTTTCAAAAACTACTGCGAATCAAGAGTTAATTAGATGATCCATCACTTTTATTGGACAGCACTTGTTGTATTTCATCGTCACTGCTGATAATTCTGTCAATACATTAAGAGGGAAAGTTGTTTTCTACATGTCTGTGTGTTTCAAAGATGCAGCAAGCACTCCAACAAAAATGACTTTACAGTAATTAGATAAATATGTCATCTCTGTATGCTGCAAACCAATTCTGAAGACAATAGCCTGTTTTTGTTTTTAAAAAAGGATCTTTTCATGGGTAAAATACTTTTAAAAATGACCATTTTATGAACTCATCTCATTGGTGTCTCACAAAATAACTTTGATCTGATAGCAGAGCAAACGAGAAGGTACAGGTGCATTATGCAGCCTAAACACAAGAAAGGCAATTTGACAAAGCAAGAAATCTCAGTAGTAAATTGTTCAAACGGTGCATTAAACAAAATGATGATTTAGAACTCTCTGAAAATTCTTCAAGAAAGCTTTTATGCTGGTCCATTTTCATGGAATTGTTTTATTAATGCATTACTTGTAAAAGAAACCAAACTGGGAAATTAAACTTTCAGATTTTTGACAGGCCATGCAGAGAGCGAAAGAGAAAGCAAGAAAATAAAAGGACTGGAGGGAAAAAATGATACAGTACCAGCAACCACAGTTTTTATGATTCTATTAAATCCTAATGGAGAATTTAAATACAGAAGCATATTTAGTATCATTCTAAAGCGTGACACCTCCAAACATCATTTGCATCTATCCAGTATTCTTCCATACCATGCAACTATTAATTAGTATTAGCTATCTCATACCACAACTCAGGCTGTTAAGTACATGAGGAATTGTTAGAAAGTTTTTCTCTCCAAATTTTGTTCTGACCTGATTTGGATTGGATTTGGACTAGATTTGAGAAAAGGCATTGCATCACAAGTTGGTTATATGTTGGTTACATTTTGTCATACATAACTTCAAGGAAAAAGATGAAAAGGAGGAACTGTAAATGTACCATGCCTCAATAACTAAATATCATGCTGGATAAAATCCGCAATTCATTCTGTAACATTGTAAAATTAGGGTATAAAATATGGAGCTTCAAGGCCATAGGAGCCAATAATGATGATGAAGGAGGATGAGGGTGAGGAGGATGAGGAAGAGGAAGGGAGGAGGAGGAAATATCTTAGAAAGGTACTTGGTTGATACGAAGGATGCTGGCAGCAAGCTGTATCAGCCATTAGCACCAGTCAGTGGTATTTGTGATGCATTTTTGAATATTTAGTTGACTATTTAGCAATTTTTGTTTGAACAAAAACACAGTATTTTCTGGATTTTCATGTTATAATTCTGCCAGAAGACACTGAACATTCCTTACTGCAGCCTTAAGAGGTTAGAATCGAATCTGACTGTATTTTTTTAAAAAATGAGCTTTTATGACACAAAGTGTACTGTATTTAAATTTGTATATTAAATGAGTTTCATATTTAATTAATAAAGTATATAATAATAATATCTGAAGGTGCAAATTCATAAGCATAAATTAATTAATTTAAATAGTTTCACAGCATTTCAAGAAAAAATAGTGTTTTAATGCTTTTAAACCTTAGGTGATCTGACTGTAAAATGTAATTTGAGAGGGGATTCATTTAACAAAAATGGAGAGAGACATAAAAAGTGCTGCAATATTCAATTGCTGGAGGTTTTCAAGAAAAGAGTGGACAACCATTTGTCCAGGATAGAATAAGGACTCCTGTCCTGGGCAGGGGGTTGGACTAAAAGACCTCCAAGGTCCCTTCCATCCCCATAATTCTAAAGAAAACATGTGGTCTGATATTTGGATTAAATTTGTCAATTTATGAACTACCAGAAGCTCTTTTAAATTGCTGGGTAGACCCTTATGCAAAATAGTTTGGGTCAACAGTAGCAATGCTATGCCAGGCAGTAAGAAGAGGTAGACATGAAAGAAGGAAGGTCTTGCCTTTCTTCTTGCACAGATTGCTGTACAAATAGCAGCAATCTGCACAGAGATCAAATGTTGGCATGAGTCTTGGGTAACTCAGCCAACAGCTTCCATAATAATTCAAGAGAGAGATAACCAGGGCATGAACCAACTGCTTAGCCATCTTGGTGGTGAGGAACTAATGGATCCTTTGAATATTCATGAAATGAAAATTAGTACTTTTTTAAAAAATGGAATACTTTAAAAGAAACCTGTAACTGAAGCCTTGAACCAAAAGAATAAAGAAAAGTGGAGGAAAGGAGATGATATAACCAAGACGGACTACAATAATGTCTATCTTCTGTTTGCTTCCATTGTCCCATTTAAGGCTATCCAATCAGGAATTCTGCTTAGACGTTGAAGAGAGATGCCTAGGCCAAACCATTCAGAGCAGGGACAAAAGAATAAATCTGAAAACCATCACTATAGATGCAATAATTGAAATGAGAAATGAAATTAAGGAGCCTGGAAGAAAGGTTTACAGCAGGGGTCAGCAACCTGTGGCTCTGGCACCACATGTGGCTCTTTCCCTCTGCTGCGGCTCCCTGTCGCTCAAAATATGCGACACAACCACCAATGTGTGATACCCGGCACATGATTTATTGAGCTTTTTGACCCCCAACCATGGGTAAATCCAAGAAAAGAAAAGTTTCAGAAGAAAACAGAACATTTAATTCAACTACATATGCTAGTTCTGTGGCCACTGTGGAAATAGTCAGTCACTGGGAAGGCTCCCAGTGTTTTCGTTTCTGTGGGAAACAGGTCCAAATGGCTCTTTGAGTGTTTCAATTTGCCAACCCCTGGTTTATAGAGAAAACAGCAAGGGTCACAACAGAGAACCCGAGGAATCCCCAGGGATAAAGGAAAAGATAAAAAGATCAAACTATTTCAAGAAATCAGAAATGCCCAATGCAATAACAAAGCACCACTCTTATAGTCTTATGATTCCTGAGCTATCCATAGGATATGGGCATTGTCTTGAACATCCTGTAAGGAGTGATGGATGGATGACATTTCCAAATATTCATGAAACTGTGATTTGATTGTTAAGTATACCAGTTAAACTGCTAGCTTTTTGAAGACAAAACAGAACAGGATTACCGTCTGCTCACTGTTCAGTTCAATTTAAGCCCCATCAGATGGATTTTGGAATTATTAAAGAATGCATATTTAGAAAGATCACAGGAACAAATGAACATTAAATAGACAATCCTTCCATTAAAATGATGAACTCCAATTTACATCTGGAGCAAAAAGTCATATTTCCAATCAATTTTATTTAGTAGCATAAAGAAACCACTCCCTGGGCAAATTTCGAGTTATAATCTCCGTAACTCTTTAAATAGAAACAAAACTGGGGATTTGTGAAATTTTCTGCATTGATTTTCAACAAACTCTTCATGAGATCAAAATGTATTAAAAAGGTAGATTTTTTGGGGGGGAGAAACAGGTTGCCAGGAAGAAAAAAAAAACTTCTTTTCCTCTGATTTCAGACCAATATACATCACATACAACAGTTTTGGTAATTATATGATAGTATTATTCTTTTTTGAGGGAAACGGTGGCTCAGTGGCTAAAATGCTGAGCTTGTCGATCAGAAAAGTTGGCAATTCGGTGGTTCGAATCCATAGCGCCACGAAATGGAGTGAGTTCCCATTACTTGTCCCAGCTTCTGCCAATCAAAAACAGCTCAAAACACATAAAAATGCAAGTAGAAAAATAGGAACCCCCTTTGGTGGGAAGGTAACAGCGTTCCGTGTGCCTTCAGAGTTTAGTCATGCTGGCCATATGACCACAGAGACGTCTTCAGACAGCGCTGGCTCTTTGGCTTTGAAACGGAGATGAGCACCGCCACCTAGAGTCAGGAACAACTAGCACATTTGTGCAAGGGGAACTTTTACCTTTACTTTTACTATTCTTTTTAAAGAGGATANTTGGATCTCAGATTACTGGAGCTGGCCTAAGAGGCATGTTTTTCTACAACCCGCAAAACTGCCTTGTTTGAGAATGTAATTTAGGACACACAGGGAGGAGGTGGGAAACAGGGTCAGAGTTCAGCCGTAAATTACATGCAGCAGAGTTGACTTCACTCGGGTAGTTGCCGACATGTAGCTCCTAATAAATAACTGGATTTCTTTTGAAATTTTTAAATTAAAAATTAAAAAAAGAAAAATAAATTTGGCTCAAGGGTAATGAGTTAATTGGGGGCATTAAAACCCTGACAGCTTCTTCATATGGCAGTTAAAACCACTATCTCTGAAGGCTTTATAATTTTTAGAATGGAAAGTAATTGTATGAAATAGTATAAGGTCTCCTGCTTGAGATGGTTGGACTAGATCTCTAAGGACCCTTTCAACCTTTCTGTTCTGTTCCGTTCCATTCTGTTCCGTTCCATTCTTCTCATGAGAAGAATTACAGGTATGGAATGGAATGGAAGCTTTAAGAGATGTGCATTGAGAAGATTTGCCTTACGTATCTACCCTAAGTCATCAACTCCATTGGGCAAACCTCGATCATTTACTTTCATTCATGAGGGAAACTTTAAGAGATCTGCATTGAGATTTTCTCCCCTTCTCCAGAAATCATAAGACTCTGATGGTGAGCCTATGGCAAGCTTGCCAGAGAGGGCAGTGGGCATCTGTGCTGTCACCAGTTGGGCTTCAGGTTTCTGAAGCTTTGTTGTGCGCGAAGACCAGCTAGCCATCAAGCATGT